ATGTTAAACCTCTGAAGTACCTTCTCAATGTATTCAGCTTGGTTCAATCTTAATGTCCCTTCAGCTTCATCCTTACTGATTCGCATCCCTAGAATCTGCTTCGCTGCACCCAGATCATTCATTGCAAATTCCTTTGCTAGCTGCCTCTTCAAACTGTTTATCTCTTCTAAACACGGTCCTGCTACCAACATGTCATCAACATATAATAACAAAATAATGAAGCTGGACTCGAACCTTTTGAAATAACAGCAATGATCCGAATTGCATCTTCTGTAGCCATTGTTCTGCATGAAGTTATCAAACTTCTTATACCACTGTCTCGGAGCCTGTTTCAAACCATATAAGCTCTTCTTGAGCTTGCACACCATCTCTTCCTTTCCTTCTTCAATGAAGCCAACAGGCTGCTTCATGTAGATTTCTTCATCCAAGTCACCATGAAGAAAGGCAGTCTTCACATCTAACTGCTCAAGGAAGAGGTCTTCTGCAGCTACCAAACTCAACACCACTCTGATGGTTGTGAGTTTCACAACAGGGGAAAATATCTCCGTGTAGTCCACTCCTTCCCGCTGTTGAAACCCTTTCACTACTAATCTGGCCTTGAATCTCTTGCTTCCATCACTCTCCTGCTTGACCCGGTAGACCCATTTATTGTGCAAGGCTTTCTTCTGTGCAGGTAGCTGGGCTAACTCCCATGTCTCATTAGTGAGTAGAGAATCCATCTCCTCCTGCATCGCATGCTCCCACTGCTGAGATTCACTCACTTGCACTGCCTCTTCATAACACTCCGGCTCTCCGCTATCTGTTAAGAGTAGATAATCAAGTGACGAGAGGTATTTGGGATTTGGTTTGGGTACCCTAGATGACCTCCTAGGCTCCACGCCCTGGGTAGTATCTTCTACACTTGTAGTCTCCTCCGTTCTACGGTCAGAACTGACATCGTCGCCCCCATCTGGAAGTTCCTCCAAATCCATGTACTCGGATCCACCTGTATCCGTAGTGCTGCTCCCACTGCTTTGGCTATCCTTGGCATTATCACTGTCCTTGTACATCACCTCCTCATTGAATATCACATCCCGGCTCCTGATGATCTTCCTGTTCTTCTCATCCCAAAGGCGATACCCGAACTCATCAATGCCGTATCCAATGAATGTGCACTTCTGTGACTTAGCTTCTAGCTTGTCCCTGACATGGTCACTGATATGAACATAAGCCACGCAACCAAATACCCGCAAGTGTGAGAGATTTATCTTCTTTCCACTCCAAACCTCCTCTGGAATCCCAAAGTCTAATGAAACTGATGGCCCGTGATTAATAAGGTATGCTGTCGTATGCACCGCATCCGCCCAAAATGTCTTAGGCAGACCTGCATGTAATCGCATGCTCCGCGCACGCTCTGTCAAGGTCCTGTTCATTCTCTCTGCAATGCCGTTCTGCTGCGGCGTCCCTGGAGTAGTCCTCTCTAAGCGAATCTCATTCGTTGCACAGAACCTCTTGAACTCCTCCAGCTCATATTCTCCACCATTATCTGATCTCAAGCACTTCACCTTCAGATCTGTCTCGTTCTCGACCATGGCCTTCCACTTCTTGAAGATCTCGAACACCTCTGACTTGTGCTTCATGAAATAAACCCACATATTCCTCGAGTGATCGTCGATAAAGGTGACGTAGTATTTCGAACCGCCAAAAGAAGACACTGACTGGGCCTCATACATCTGTATGAATCAACTCTAGCTTCTGAGCCTTAGGTGGTCTTCCACCCTTCTGGAAACTAACTCTCTTCTGCTTCCCAAAGATGTAGTCTTCACAAACCCCGACTTCCACGGTGTCGATCCCGGTTAGCTTTCCTTGTGAATGTAGAATTTTCATCCCCTTCTCGCTCATGTGCCCCAGCCTATTGTGCCACAGATCTGTACTCTCCTTGCCAGCTACAATTACGAGGGTGTCACTCGCATGTGAAGTGAGGTAGAGAGTTCCCGTTTTGTTGCCTCGGGCAACAACCATCGTACCGTTGGAGATCCTCCACGAATCCCCGGTGAATGTCGAAACGTAGCCTTCTGCTCCAAGCTGTCCCACCGAAACAAGATTCCCCTTCAGCTTCGGCACGTGTCTCACATTCTTTAAATTCCACTTAGAGCCCTTTATCTGTATCTGAACGTCGCCCTTTCCAACAATATTGCAAGGTTCATTATCCCCCAAATATACTTTACCAAAGTCCCCTGCTACATAGTTCTGAAGTAGTTTCCTGTTAGCAGTGGCGTGGAAAGAAGCTCCTGAGTCGATGACCCAAGAATCAGAATCGCTATCCATAGCAAGGATCAAGGCATCCTGCACGATATGAGCCTCCTGTTCACCCGCATCCTTCTTTGGTGCTTTACAGACCGAAGACATATGGCCCTCCTGGCCGCAGTTCTAACACTTTCCTTTGATAGACCTAACCTTCGAGTTTGGCCTCTTCTTCACTGATTTCGACCGATTCCTGTTCTGGTTCCCTTTCTTCTGGCTTCTACCTCTCTGCTCGAAACTTAGGGCTGAACCTGAACCTTCTGATTCGAACGACTTCCTTCTAACCTCCTCGGATAGAATCATGCTAACAACCTCATTCAGCTTCAACTTCTCTTTCCCCACCGAATTGCCAACTATCCGGCAACTGCGATAGTAGTAGAAGGGCCTGCACTTCGTCATCGAACGTGATGTCCACGGAGATAAGTTGATCAACAATCGTGTTGAACTCGCTGAGGTGCATCGTGAAGGACCGTCCTTCTGCCATCTTGAGGTTGAAAAGAGTTTTGACTAGATGCACCTTGTTTGCTGCCGACGGTTGCTCGTACATCTTCGCGAGCGCTTCCATAAGCCCCACCGTCGTCTTCTCCTTTAGAATATTGTGAGCTACTGATTTGGCGAGCGACAACTGGATTTGCCCTAGAGCATTCCTATCCAGTACCTCCCAATCACCATCTGACTCCTCTTTCTTCTTTCCCTTTTTCTTGCCCAACAGCGGGCGATACAAGTCCTTCTGGTACAGATAGTCCTCCATCTATGACTTCCAGTAGGCGAAATCCGATCCATCGAACTTCTCAATCTTTGATTTACTTTCCTCTGCCATGGCTTTCACACAAATTGCTGAACGAAGCTCTGATACCAGTTGTTGGGGATTCGAAACAATCAATTGAACCCTTGCCCTTCCGGACCTTGTGTTGAAAGTAGGAAAGTAGGAATAAAACCACAAATAAAGATCTAACTTGCAAAAAACAGTAAGGGAGATGAACACACAGATTTAACGAGGTTCGGCAACGTGCCTACGTCCTCGGGAGCTACACCACACAATCTTTTTATTAATTGAAGAAGAAAATACAAGCTCTCAAACAAGGGGTTAATCTCTCTGAGATTCTCTCTCTTTTTGCAGTCAAAAAGCTCTCTTTTTGATGTCTCTTTAAACCCTAAAAATGTTTGGGGTATATATAGAATCCTGAAACAACAGATTCCCAAACAGTTTAGGAAACTGTCTGGACGATTCGCGGTCGACCGCCGTGCCAAGGCCGGTCGACCGGCCAGAGAAAAATCTGTTTACAGGGTCCTGTGCACATTTGCGGTCGACCGCAGCGGCCACGCCGGTCGACCGGCCAGAGCGACAGAAACTTCTCAGTTTCCTGCAGTGCACGCGGTCGACCGGATCTGCCACTGCGGTCGACCGCACAGTCTTCTGACTGTTTTCTTCGTCTTTTTCGATTGCAGCTTCGGGTCTACACACTTAGACTAACAGTCAGCACCTGATTTCCCCTATCAATCTCACATTAATCATGAAAATGGCTCTTATTATCCGAGTTCGAAACCTGTAAAGTATCAGCTGAGTAAGCTGACTGCTTGGACTTGGCCGAAGTTATAAAATTACCCTCCCGAGTCTGCTATAAATAGGTGTCCTGCCTATTGCATAGAGACACTTGATTTTCTAGACATAGAAGCCACTATAATAAAACCCTTTCTCCTCCATTTAAGATCCACACTGACTTGACTGTCGGAAGAACCCTCGTAGAGCTCAACTCCAACCCTCTTATGTATTGTTTGTGTACAGGACATTACTCTATTCTCAATAATCAACCATCAAAAGAAGATTGAGGAACCCTAAGGGGCTGTTTGTTTTGAGTATTTTGCCTTGGGGAGGGGGTGGAAAGCTGCCATTATGACAGCTTTCTCTAGGCGTTTTGGGGAGAAAGCTGCCATAATGGCAGCTTTCCACCCCCTCCCCGAGGCAAAAAACCCAAAACAAACAGCCCCTAAAACCCTACCTAATTTAAACTAAGATTCATTGTTTGACATCTGACATTAACAGCTAGTGTTAGGTTAAGGTGTAGGGTTGGCTACAGGGTGTCTAGGGTTTGGGCTATTTTTTTGGGCACATGCCCGGTAGTAAAGCGACACTCGGTAAACCGCATGGCTGCTATGATCGCCAATGTAGCTAGGATTCCTCTACATCTAGTTCATCATTCTTAACATCGGTAGACTAACAATTGCTCGGTCCTAATCCAAAAGCACAGAAGGTAACTGTTCAGAATATTCCAGCGCTCGGTTAATTTTTAAAAAAAATTAGTATCTTCAAATATTTAAAGATTGATGTACAGTCCAAACTAAATATTCGGATTTGGATATCCATAAAACCAGAATATGCCCGTACGCGGCGCTCCGCCCCAACTTACTTCTCACGGGATCCGAATAAACCCAAAAATATTCGCGAGTGAACTTACCCTGTGCCCATCGGGTAGGTGACCGAGACCTCCAGAGATTAGACCCAGCGGGGCCCACACCAATAATTTGTCCTCAGACACAAGTACCTTACGTGGATCCACGCTTTTTCGAATCCCTCGTTATAAATTAGAAGTCTTTTCACCTACACCAGCCAGGGCCAGTCACCCGCATGTTCGCGGCGTCCCGTTCGTCCACGCTGGCACTCGCGGGCCCCACTCAAAACCCATATTGGCCCTATATAAACCCCTATCCATTTCCTTTAGTTACTAAAATCGAAGCTCACAAGAATCTTCGAGATGGTAAAAGCTCTTCCGGAAATGACCACGGATTTCTTTCAATTCGAAGAGTTCGATGAATTTTATCATGAAGCTCAAAAGAGAGAGGAAATCGATCAGTTTAGCAGCGATGAAGAAGAGATCGATACTGAGGAGACAAAAGCTTTTTGGGAATCACAGCATCAGCTTCTCCAAGTAAATTTCTCCGCTCTCTTTTTTTCTGGTAAAATTAGGGTTTGGTATATTGTGAGATTAACTATGGATTATCGATCAATTTAGGAAGCTTTATCTCGTCGGAGTTCGACGGAAGTGAGGATCAAGAGAGATACAGAGGAGGCGATTAAAAAAATGGAATCTTGTCGTCCGATCTGTGATTGTTTGAAAGAATGCCGACGGAATTGTGTGCTTAGATTTATAACTGATCGTCTTCGTGATGCTGGGTATAACAGCGCCCTTTGCAAATCCAAGTGGCGGCGGTCGCCTGAGATTCCTTCAGGTATTTTGATTTTATTCCAGGTAATAACACCCTGTTAAAAGACGCTTATTATTGATTAGCGGCAGTCATTTGGAAATTACGCATTGGATTTTGATTCATTCCAATTAGGGTGTATTTGGTTAGAGGGTGTTGGAACTACAAATGTAGTTGCAATATCATTTGTGTGTTTGGATTGATGTAGTTGGAACACTGTTCTTTCAACTATATTTATGAGCATTTGGTTGGATGTAGTTGTAACGAAAAATGTAGTTGTAACACAAAAATGTTGTTGCAATATCCATATATGCTAAAAATGAGGGTATTGCATCCGTGCTTAAATTTTAGAGTGTTGCAACAACATTTGAGTTGTAACTACATGTGGATGCAACAATTTGAGTTGCAACTACTTGTAGATACAATTACATTTGTTATTGCAACACCCTCTAACCAAACACACCCTTAGGCAATTGAGAACTCGCCCCTAAAATTATAGCCACGTGGTATTTAGGATGTTTTTGGCAATTGGAAAGTAAATAAAAATGGGACCCAAAATTGAGAAGTGACTTTACTTTTTATTTTTATTTTTTTCCGTTTGATATTTGGAAACCGAATGGAAAGTGAAGGGTGTCACATCATTTGCTACCTCATTTTCTCTCTTTCTACTTTCTATCATCTAACCAAGATTTTTCAAATTAAAATGCAATAAGAAAGTAACTTCTTGAGAAAATATTTTTTTTTCATTTTTCATTTACTTTCTGTTTGTCAAACACGCCCTAGTTTCCAAACTGTATAAGTTAGAACGTGACTTGATTGACAATACAACATTACGGGCATATTCACATCTTTGAAACATCCTGTACTCAGATTTGTAACCAAAAACTATATAACAGACTATGTAACTAAGATGACAAAAGAAATATATACTCAATAAATAAAAAGATATCCAAAAAGACAGAGTTCAGCTGCATCGATCCAAAATGGAAAGGAGTAAGAAAATACATCATAGTCTGAAAATGTCACGTCACTCAAAAAAATCTAAAATAAATATACTATCTAAATAACTAAAAGTTGAAGAAATGAATAAGACAGTACGGTGATCATTGCGGCTGAGCCTGCTCCTCAAAATACTCTTGATCTTGCGAAGAAACAACAATCCCCAAGTGTGGGGTGTGTCCTGATCCATTGTGAATTAAAAATTAAATTAGTACAAATATATCAGGACTGAACCACAAACAACAATACAATTGAAGAGCATTTTTACATATGAAAATTGATTTTTTAAGATATAAGAACATTATATTGGTCTTGGAAATTACTATATGAGATTTAATTAAAAAAAGTCAATTTCATGCAAAATCATCTCAATACATGTTGTATTTCTATTAATTATTTTATCCTCAAGTTTAGCTTAATCATAGTTCTTTAATAGGGTTTCCAGGTAGTAATAGCCTGTTAAAATACGCTGTAAGCAAGATTAGCGGCATTAATTTGCAAATTGCTTCATATTGGTCTTGGACATTACGACATGAGGTTTAATTAAACATTAATTTCGTACAAAATCATCTGTATGCATGTTGTATTTCCATTACTTATTTTATTCTCAGGTTTAGATTAGTCATAGTCCCTAGATAGGGAAATCTAAGAGTAAGGCTATTGAGAAATTGGATCTATGCCGCTAAAATTTTTAGTGGATTACATCACCAATAGAACGATTGGCTAAACATTTTTAGGATATTTTTGTAAAATTTAATATTTTTTAAAAGTAGTTTTCACGGTGGTATGTGGATTAAAAAAATTGCCAAATCTGATATGATCAATACCTGAGGCCTAATGGTAGTAA